GATTTTTTTTTTTTTTTTTTTTTTTTTTTTTTTTTTTTTTTTTTTTTTTTTTTTTTTTTTTTTTTTTTTTTGGTGTTTCGTGGTGCATTTATAAGTTCTTTAATCTGAAAATAAGGGGTCAGATTTCTACTGTTCTTGAGGCAGAGCTTATTCTGGTATTCCTAGGAACTAGCTTTTGTGACTACCCCCACTGAAAAAAAGAAAAAAAGAAAAAGAAAAAAAATACTAATCCCAAAATTGTCAAGGACCCTATTAGTTTGACCTTTTGTCTTATAAGATGATTGCTAATGTACATGTCAAGAGATTTAAAATGATGCTGCCAAAAGAGACTAATGCTCAATATGAACCCCACAAGGGAGTGAAAGTAAAACAGAAAATAACAAAAATCACAAAAATCACAAAAATCACAAAAATCACAAAGGAGATGTAAAATGATGCTTTCCTCGATCATTTCTATGTTCGTGTGACCTTTTGTTGGAAAGTAGTGGTTCACAGTTGAAAAAGGGTACAGAATTTTTCCATCAGTTTTTTTTGCGATAAATTAGGGAGAAAAAGAAGGCATAGCATTTACTGTGAATCTTCGGAAGGCTATTTAACAACATTATTAATAACTTGTCCATCGTCCAAATATAAGGGAGAATTCAATTTTAACTCTCATCGATAGATTTTAACCCATGAGTTGGCCTAGTGGTCAATAAGAGCTATGGGTATAATAAAGAGATCCCAGAGATCAGAGGGGATGGTTCAATCCATGTTGTCCACCTACTTAGGATTTAATATCTTATGTGTTTCTTTGTCAATCAAATGTAGTAAAGTCGAGCAGTTGACCTGTGAGATTAGTTGTACTAGCGGGCTTGGAAACTTGTGTATATAATATATATACTCTTATTGACAGCATTTTTCGAGCTGCTTCACGCTGGCTGGCTATATAAAAGAATGCAAGAGTTTCTAGAATGGAAAGATTAAGTTCGGATCACTTGCTATCATTTGTAATCGGGTCCTTAGAAATTAGAGAATATTGGTCTTTATCGGAATAACATCCTTCTGTAGAAGTTAAGGAATCATGCCCCCCTTGAAGATTGACCCTATCACGGGTTTATCTTGCAGCTCAGTTTTTAAAGGCCTCTTTATGATCTGAGGCTTTTCTCACCTCCCTATTTTGTTTTTCTTGTTGACTAACTTAACAAATTACTTCTTAGAGGCCATGGTCTGTGTTTTGTGAAAGGCTTCAATGTGGGAGAAAGCTCCCTTGTCATTAACTATCTTAAGTTTGTTTTTGACACAATTCTCTTTACTTCTCCTTTGTTGGCTTTTTGAAAAGATTTCTTCTACTGTTGCAGAACATCTGAGGGATTTTTATTGGATGGTACTTGGTGACACATTAGAAATTGGAAGGCCTTTCATAGTTTGGAACAATATGCAACTTCGTATCCTTTCTCGAGGACAGGGTTTTGACATATTCCTATTCTTCTTCCACCTGTTTGTCACTGTTAGAGTGGTTTATTCTTTGAAATTTCTCATCAAAATTTGCAAAGTAAATTCTTATTCCCCGAGGAGCTCCTTGAATAAACGGAATTCCAACTGGTTTATTATTTTCACTAAAAGTGAAGTCATTCTTTGAAAAAAAAAAAGATCCTCAGAACAGCTGAATCAACAAACTCTTAGAAAATTCAATGGTGATTTAGGAGACCAGATCTCTTAACCATTTTCCCATTCGTTTTTGGTTCTTCCTCAAGTTCTTTGTTGAATGTTGATGTCTCTGTTATCCCTAGAAGTCTCCAATTTCTTCACATTAATGATTGATATCTCGTTTCCATTTCTTTTAAGTTAGTCGCAAGGGATATCAGAATCTCTCGAATATTTTCACACATAAAAATCGTTAAGACACTAGCAAAGTTGATTTGGTCAATTGATGAGACATAGATGTCGTCCAAACTGCTATTTCCTGAATGTACCCAAACGGCTTTCATTTAATTGGAAAACAATATAGCTTGATGGTTGTTTGGAGCAATTTTCTGACATTTTCTACTTGAGTTTTCTGTGCGTTTATGTTTCTGATGAACTTCGAGGAAAATAACTTCTTTCTTCCTCTTTTAGTCAGCTGCGTTGATTGGAGACTTCAACAATTGGAATCCTAATGCAGATATTATGACCCGGGTATGTGATATTTGTTGTAGATCCCAACTGCCTATTGTTTGTCCTCATAAATTTCTTTGCTCTCTCCTCTCTCTGAACCGACACTTATTGAGCATTTTAGTACTCTTTGTATTTAGAATGCTATTTACAATTATGTTTTTTTGTATGTGCAGAATGAGTTTGGTGTCTGGGAAATTTTTTTGCCTAATAATGCAGATGGTTCCCCAGCCATTCCTCATGGTTCTCGAGTGAAGGTACATATTCTCAAGACAGTGTATAAATTATGCAAGGAAAATAATTTGATTTTAGGACTCTAGAAGATATTCATTTGGAGTTATGGACGTTTATTTATTTATTAACTAATTATTATTTATTATTATTATTATTATTTTGACAAGAAACAATATTGATGGTACAAAATTAGAAAAGAAGGGGAGAGCCTGCTCAGAAGGAGTTGAAAAAGACCCTCCGATTGGATATGTGATTAGAGAAGCTGTAGTAACAGAAAAGGGGGAGCAATTACCCCAAGTAATAACCAGAAAAATTATAGCATCCAAAAATGTATCAAAAGGAAGCTCCATTTCTTCATGTATTCTTTGCTTCATTTCTACCCAAGGAAATGTTAAAAAATTTATCATCACTAGCCCAATAGGGTCAAACCCAGTAATTGTATAAGTTCATTGCTTATATATTTAGGAAAAAGATTCAGGTATTTTCGAAATAAAGATATCTAAGTCATAGTAACAGAAAAGATGGAGCATTTACCCCAAGTAATAACCATAAAGATTATAGCATCCAAAAATGTATCAAAAGGAAGCTCCATCTCTTTATGTATTCTTTGCTTCCTTTCTACCCAAGTAAGACATATAAAAGTCCTCACAATGTGCATCCAGATAAGCTCTGATGTCCTTTCTAAATGGGATTTCCCTGTAAAACATAAGAGAGAAGGTGTGACGTCCAGAAGAGGATAAGAGAATTTCACATTTATATGATACAAAAAGATGGTTTTGTGATTCAGAACTATTCAGGGGATGAAGAGAAGAATAGCATATTTACATGTTACAAAAAGATGGCCTTGTGATTCAGAACTATTCTTGCAAATGAAACACAGCAATGGAGAGATGGTCATACATCCTACATTGGAGCTTGTCGTGGGTAGCTTCATTCTTGCTGAATTACCATGAAATTAAAAGGGTTGAGAACAACTTGCTGAATGACCTTTTTTATTGGCCAAGACAGAGTCAACAATTGACAAATACTAATATTTAATAGTATTTCAACAATGATGGGAGGGCCTAAAACAACTAACCTAAGGTTGAAACATTCATCTGAAGCATAGTTTGCCTGTGTGCAACACTTAATAGATTCAATCTTCCTACGTGAGTTAAAGACTCAATAGGTTCCTGATTAGTGTGTGTGGCAACTGTAAGTCTTTCTCTGTGTCTCTTGGATGCTGTTATATTTCTTCACTTAGTTCCATTTGCTGAGCTTCGTTAGATTCTACCAAAAGTGAGGTTTTTCCAAAGAAATGTGATGTACTGATTTGATTGCGTAACTTGGGTTGGGTTGAGAAGTTTTTTAAGTAGATGGATGGTTTGTAGCGCTTAGTTTAGCTTTTTTTTTTTTTTTTTTTTTTTTTCTTCGTGTATCTGAGTTGTCGATACTTGTAGATTCGAATGGATTCTCCTTCAGGCATCAAAGACTCAATCCCTGCTTGGATCAAGTTTTCTGTACAGGCTCCAGGTGAAATACCGTACAATGGCATATACTATGATCCACCAGAAGAGGTATTTTTTTATAAATTTACCAATCTATCGTATAATTGTTTAGGCAGTATGGAAAACCTTTTGGAACTGTAATTATGAAAATATTAATAAATATTGGGAAAATAGATTACTGACATTAGATTATAGCGTTCCAAAATGAATGGCTAATGGTACATTTTTTTTTTTTTTTTCATTTTAGTGATATTGTCTACCAAAGAGGAAAATTAATTATATTCTTAAAATTTTCTCCGGTTGTTTAGGGAGATCATGGGTGAGTAAAATCCTTAACTATTGCATTGTTATTTGGTGATAATTGCTTGCTTACTGGCTACTTATTATTGTATGACTTTCTACAGCTAAGCTGCAAACTGCTTTGTTTTACTGGAATTTACTTTCTGTTTACCTCTCGTTATTGTAGGAAAAGTATGTATTTCAACATCCTCAGCCAAAAAAGCCGAGGGCACTTAGAATTTATGAGAGCCATGTTGGTATGAGCAGTACGGTAAATATCTTCTGTTCCCTATGATAGATACTTTCTGATTTCTGTTTAAATGCTTTTCCTCTTTGTTTTTTTGTTTTTTTTTTTTTTTTTTTTCTCTGTGTTCTTTTATATGGCAACATTACTTCCTACTCAAGATTATGCTTGGAAGTGGCATAAAAGTGTTAAAACACTTTAAATTGTTTGGCCAAAGTGACCCACAACTGTGGATGAAGATCATTAGACAAAGTCTACGGTGTTTAGCCTCTCCAAAGAAACCAACCAAGAAAAAAGAATTAATGTATCTTGGAATTTTGGTTTTCTATATGAAACAGAATGTAGAGCTTAAACAGGTAGAAGAACATTTTCAGTGTAATTTGACTGCTGTGTTAAACCACCCAAATTCACTAGTGAAACTAAAAATGGTTACTATATTGGACCTTTTAATTTCCAACAATCCTTTTGTCCACCCCTTGTTTTCTCTAGGATAATTTTAAAATTTGCACGATTTACTTGGTAAGTACGTGGATTAACTTCTCAAATTCATGTCTTTAAAAATACTCCCATTCCTTTTAACCATATGTCTGACATTAAAGCTTTGACTACATTAACTCAAGGAAGATTGAGATTGACCACAGGAGATTGATATATGCTACATTGAGAACTGACTGAAAAAACTCCCAAAGAATCTGAACTCTAACCTCTGGCATCCTCCCTTGAAACTGATGCTAAATTAGGCAATAATAGACCAAATTCTTCAAGTTCGTTATCCTTAAAGTTTCTTCTAGTTTCAAATTTTCAGCTTTGAAGAGAACAACCCCAACAGTTCAACACAGAACCATTTGGAGAAGAAACCACCTGATAGAGACGTGGATAAACAAGTTTAAAAGGAGAATTACCCGACCATTTGTCATGCCAAAAAGAGCTTTGCTTGCCATTTCCAAACCTGAAATGAGTTCGAGTTCAACAAGCTTCCATGGCCTTCGCAAACAGCCACTCCTTTTGCACAAGGCCTTGGCTTAACCCCATATAATAAGTTTGACACCACTTGACACACTTCAGAGAAGGCGTGATGAAAATTGGCATAAAATAGATAGGAACATTGGGAAATACTGAATTGCACAAAAGTCAATCTCCAAACCCTAGATAATTGAAATCTCTTCCCTCCATCCAACTTCTAAATAATTTTATCAGAAATAGTAGACCAGAATTGAGAGGATTGAGAGGATTTTTAATTACCTCCAGGAGACTCCACCTTGGAATGGAGCTTGGAAGTAGGCTGATTCAACCAAAAACAGATCCACATTAATGCCATAAACCGCATGCCACAAGAGTTCACACTTAAACTTCCTAGTAGTTTCTAGAGACTTTTAAGCTTTACTTTCTTTTTTTGGGGAGAAAACCCTAATATTTACTTGGAAAAGCTTAAAGAAGGAAAGGAGTGATTGGAGAGTTGAGAGAGAAAGATGGAGCTATTTAAACATTACTTCATGATTGATTTGTAGAATAAAAATGGATATTGAAATATTCATTTACATATGAAATTCTCAACATTCTTATGTTGTGCCACTGTACAACATTCTTCATTCACATCTATTGCTGAACATTGAATTTTAGGAACCTATTATAAATACGTATGCAAACTTTCGAGATGATGTCCTTCCTCGTATTAAGAGGCTTGGATACAATGCTGTTCAGATCATGGCTATCCAAGAGCATTCCTATTATGCTAGCTTTGGGTAAGTTCACGTTTATTATATGTGGATTTTTCTAAATTATGCTGCAGTTTTTAGAATAATTGTGTTAATAAATGGTATGCAGAATTTTGAGGACTTTTGCCATCACTTTGTGTGGCATCACCCGGCATTCAATTTGTAACTTTCGAACTTTAATGTAGGTACCATGTTACCAACTTTTTTGCCCCTAGCAGTCGCTGTGGAACCCCTGAAGAACTTAAATCTTTGATAGATAGAGCTCATGAGCTCGGTCTGCTTGTTCTCATGGATATTGTTCATAGGTAAGCAAAGAGAAAGAGACCAAGACTGTGGAAAGAACTGGAAACTCTATTTTATTTTCAGAACACTACTTTGTAGGAGAATTGTTTTTTTTCCCCCCTTCTGTTCTAAATCCCTTCAGTATTCATTACCTAGATCTATTGGATAAAAAAGTTTCCTTTTAAAATCATGTGGCATATATGGAGGTGATGGGTAATTCCTGTCTACTTTTCTTCTAAATTGATGACAATAACATGCAAAAGAACTAGAGAATTAAATTTCATCAACCCTGACTCCCACAGGTTTATGCATGCCGGATCTAACCAATTGCTCTTTGTAAATACAATTTGACATGTTTTTAGTAGGAAAGAAGAATATTCATTCCTTGATAGAATAGAATCTATAACTGAAAAAGAAAAAAGAAAAAAATCCAATGGGTCCGGTGATGTAGTGTAAAATTTTCAAGACACTGTTTCCTCTGACCACAGTTTTTCAGATCTTTGACTATATGTTCAATTCCATTATCTGGCTCTTTGTTTACTTTGCTTGATGTTGAATATTCTTCCAAGTTTTTTTCTTATCATCTATTTTCCATTTTAAACAATTGTAGTTCTTTATTGTTCTACCTCTGATTACAAATACAGTCATTTCTTTGTTTCCCATGTTTGATATTGAATATTCTTCCAAGTTTGTTTGTCTTTACCATCTATTGTCCATTTTAAAAAACCATAATTTTTTATTGATCTATATTTTATTACAAATACAGCCATGCATCAAAGAATGTGTTGGATGGACTAAACATGTTTGATGGCACTGATAACCATTACTTTCATTCTGGATCCCGAGGTTATCATTGGATGTGGGATTCTCGTCTTTTTAATTACGGAAGCTGGGAAGTAAGTTTTTTCTTTTCTAAATTATAAATGGTTGGAGTATTGATATAATTAAATTTACCATAACCCATCAATTTAAGTTGATTAGTGATTTAACGTGGTACCAGATTAGGTCTTACGTTCGAACCCCTTAACGTTGATTGGTAATTTAACAATTGTGTGTCTGTATGTGTGGATGAACTCTGCTTAGTCCCGTTTATGTTTATCTCATGTCTATATATAACCTAAGGTTTCATTCTTCTATACCTTCTTTTAGGTACTAAGGTTTCTACTATCAAATGCTAGATGGTGGCTCGAAGAATACAAGTTCGATGGGTTCAGATTTGATGGTGTGACCTCCATGATGTATACACATCGTGGTCTAGAGGTACACTATTCAAGGGGGGTTGGGGAACTTACCTCACAAGATGGGGCAAGGTGTCGAGCTTTCGTTTCTGAGAAATTTGGTTTTAAAGGCTTATTTCCCTTGTGAGTGTGTCTATATATATATATATATATATATATATATATATATATATATGTAGACATTTTAAAATGTCATTCCTATATATCGATATTATATAGGAATGACATTTTAAAATTTTGATCAAACAGTCCCCTGCCTACAGATCTGCAGGTCTTTATCCTTTTATTTTTTGATATGGATAATCCTCGCCCTCAATTTGGCTATAATTGCTCACTGTGTCAGGATTTATTATATTATATTCATGCTTTGGCTAATGACGAGAACTTTTTTCTTTCTTTCTTTCTTTCTTTCTTTCTTTCTTTGTGTGCTTTAGGTAGGGTTTACTGGAAACTACAACGAGTACTTTGGATTTGCTACAGATGTAGATGCTGTGGTGTATTTGATGCTGGTGAATGATATGATTCATGGGCTTTATCCCGAGGCTGTTACAATTGGTGAAGATGTATGTTTCATGAATTTATCATAAAATGACACTTGTTTGTAACCAGAGCTTTGTTCTTTTCCCTTTATATACTGATATAGATATTAGCAACAATAATAATAATTCATATACACCATTCAGGAATTCAGTGATTATGTTAAAATTTATTTATAGGTTATGTTTATATTTCATCTTAGAAAGCGAGATAATTAAATGGTTCAAACTCAACTATGTGCTTATCAAACAACAGCTAGGGATATCCCCACCAAGCCTAACTTGAAATTGTGAAAAACAAGTTGGGATTGTACGACATATATAACTATATGGTAGGGGAATGTTGAAAATTATTGTCAACATTAGAGCATTTTTGTAAATAGCAAATTAGGAAATTAACCAAAAATTTAGTAGATTTGATTAGATAAGGTTAATTTACCTTTTTTGTTGTTATTTTAGTATTTAAGTTAATACATTGTCTTGATTTATCATTAGTTAAATATTATGAAATACAAACCACATTTAGGAATTTAGCTTTCGTTTGGGGGGGGGGGG